GAGAGAAAAAAAAAAGCAACAGAAATGAGGTCAGAGGTAATGACAGCACACAAAGAATTCATGTTATTTAATTAATGACTGAGTGCATTAATAAAATATGACTCTACCTTCTTTCTCCTGGTCAGTTAGCATTCCCAGGAAAATACTGAAGTAATGTGAGCATAATCCAATTTTTATTTTACATATTAAGAGATAAACCAGCGTATAAATACGTGTTTACTACCTGTACTTGGATTTACACGTAGCTTTTCGATTAGTTGTCTTTTACCAGCAGACACAGCAGGATAGATTTTTCAGAATATTTTTTCGGAAGGGGAATGTCCCTACTGATCTGAATAATTTCACATATTTTCGCAACATATTTCCACATTTTAGTTTGAAAATGTTGAAGCAGCACATGGGTGCATCAGAAGGTTACCTGAAATTAGATAACTCACTCCGAATCATCAGTGTCTGAAAAGGAGATGGAAGTTTTGAATGATTGGCATTTCAAAAGTATTATGATGGTTGTGGTTACTTAAAGGCTAATGCACATCTCATATACTGGTGATGTTATGGTTACAAATCAAGGCTCGTGACCTTGGTCGTGCATCATCCTCTTTGTCGCTGCCTCTTCATTGAATCCTAAAGCAGCAATGACGTTAAATAATCTGCAGAAAAAGAGTAAAAGATACGGAACGCAATGTAAATTCTCAGCGTATTGCTCGTCACGTTTTGACACCGTGTCGTAAGCATCTTGATAACAGTAAAGCTCAGCGTTTGTCCTCATTATGACTCCTAGGAGCCTCGACTCACCTTCAAAAGCCCAGTCACCCACATACACACACACATGCCCACAAACACACACACACACAAGTACGCAAAGGACCCTGTGCAAGGCTAAAAATAATACCCTTCCTCTTTTTTTTTTTCACATGGATACACACAGATATACACACTTAAATATACACAGACTGACCGGTAGCTACACGTATATGCACAAACATACACAAGAAGCTGCATCACATGTATACACCCACAAATACGCATACACACACACTCACACACACACACACGCACACACTCCTCCCTCACTTCCTCCCCCTCTCCAAGCCCTTGTCAGTTGATTGTGTTATTACTATGCTAACCAAATCCTTATAAATGTGATTTAAGGCTTGGCGGCCCTGCACTCCTGTTTTAGCCTTCTGCTACTGTGTTTTACTGGAGAGAGGAGGAGTAAGGGTGGGAGGTGTGGAGGGAGGGAGGGGGGGGGGGGGGGGGAAAGACATGGGGAATGAAATGAAGAGATTGGAGGAAGGGTAGGAGTGACTGGGAAGCGGTTGGGAAAAGGGAGGATGCGAGATGGAAAGACAGAAGAGGTGAGCGGGAGGGAGGGAGAGAGAAAAGAGAGATAAGGAGTCAGGAAACCAGAGGGAGAAGTGTTGCCACGCATTCCCTCAACACCCGTTCCCTCCTATCCCGAGAGCAGTAAAGCATCAGTAAAAAAAAAAAAAAATGGAAAAAAGCATCACCTGCATCTTAAATGAAAATTTCAATTGAAAAACTTAACAGCCCTTCAAATTGCAGAATTTTACACGCGCCAGTAAAGCCTAAATAACACTCAACACTTAGAGGGAGAAGGGGGGGAAAGGAGGGGAAGGGAGGAGAGCGGGAACGAGAGAGGAATGGGGGGTAACAACGGGGTTATTTTGGTTGGTTGATGGGGACTTGATCAAGGTGACTGGATTGTGATTTGTGTTGAAATTTTGTGCAGTTTCTATTTATCTACCTCCCCGTGCATCTTTAGCCTGTTTCTTTGCAGCGTCTGTAGTCGGAACAGACAGACGGGACAAAGGAAAACAGGTGAGGATATAATCAAATAGACACACGGATGCAGATTGTCTAATGAGACATTCGACAAACAGGTAGGAAGACGCCCCAGCCCTTCCGCAAAGACGACCAAGCATGCAGCGATGCACATAGGCAGACAGGGAGACGGGCTCCTTGGTTATTCGTGGGGTTCAGTGGACCTTTGGTGGTAATTGAATCAGTGTGAGTGCTGAGTAGAGCTAGCATAAAAACCTGTTAACCCAAAAGGTCAACTTTCTGCATTGTTTATTTAGCAGGGAGACCAGAGAGAGAGAGAAGGAGGGAGCAAGAAAGAGAGAGAGAGAGAGAGACACAAAACACAAATGGGGGACAGAGAGGGAAGAAAATGAGAGAGAGATGGAGGGTTAAGAGGGAGGAGAGGGAAGGAAGTGGTCAGAGAAAGGGAGAGAGAAGAGGAGGAGACACACAGACCTGAAGGAGAGATGGAGCTGTTGGTGGAACCATTTGTGATCTGTAAAATCAGCCGAGCTTTACATCACCATTTTTATACTGTTGTTTATTTGTGTGGGGGATAGAATTGGTGTGTGTGTGTGTGTGTGTGTGTGTGTGTGTGTATCTGGCTGCTATCTTAATGTCTTTTTACTTGTGACATGCATTTGTCTATGTCTGATTGTTCATAGTGTTTTGTTTTTGTGCACAAGAGGTCAAACTTAACGCGAGTTTTCTGTTTTGTTTCTCTAATGTGTCAGAAAATAAATGACTGGTAACCTTGCAGAATTTCTTTCATAAGTCGCTACATCCAACTTCATTTGTAGATTTGTAGAAAATGTTCAACTTTTCTGAACAGTTTCTTTGTTTGTCAATCAAATAACACCAATCACAAGGTCACCGTTGCCAGCGTTTGATTGGTGCATGTACCAGCAAACTGTGTATCTGGCTATTTAAAATATGAGAGACAAAAGGACAACGATTTGACTGACTTAAAGATATTTTAAGGCCTCAGCAGAACTGGGACATCCAGGGCCAATTACTGGCACCGTACTCTGTGGGAAGTAAGGCCTATCAGTTAATAGATAGAGTGCACAATGCAACCATACTGTACTTACACAGCTGTTGTCTCTTGTGTACGCATGCTGACATACACATATACATGCTTGCACACTTTATCTATCATACAGTCATGCACGCATACTCTCAGCCGCTCATCTTCTTTCACTCGCTGTCTTTCTGTCTCTCCCTGACACACACACACACACACACACACACACACACACACCGCCATCTGGGAAAGCCGTTAGCGGTTAGCGGTAGCACTTAGCGACGCAGCACGCTCCCTCAGTCCGCTCAGTCACCTTGATCTGCTTGCCCTTCACACAGCACCATTACTGCTATACTGCATCGCTGTGGGTGTGGGCATGCGAGTTAGTGTGTGCGGTAGGAAGCGTATGTGTCTGTGTGTATGGACATGCATCTGTGTGTGTGTCCATTATAGAGCAGTACAGTGGGATGTAAATGCTGGGGGAGGAGGGAGGGGGGGAGAAGGGGGCATTACCTTCAAATGAGCTACCGTGAAGTGAAATATCCCTCAACTGGTCTTGTGTAGGTTCTTATCCGTGCACGGACATGTGCAAGTCATGTGACTGTGAGTTTGCCTGTGGCCTTCTGATGTGCATCTCTGCCTGTATATTTTTAATAGGATCATTTTACATTCTGGATGTCTGAATTTAAGGCATGCACTGAGTGAACATGAATACGCCGTGAACCCAAGTTAGAAATCTTACAAGCTCTCTGAGACTCAGGTTCTGCAAAAAGATGCGTTTGGTTGTCCTGACCTGAAGTTTAGTAAATGCTGGAAGTCGTTCTTAATTTTAAGTTCACCAAACTTTATGTACATCACTTGCATATATGAGTCAAAACATTATGACCACTAATATGCTGTTGGTTCTTCGTGTGCTGCCAAAACAGCTCCGACCTGCTGAGAAATGGACTCTGCAAGGCCTCTGGAGGTGCAGCTCTGAGGCTGTTAGCAGCAGATACTTTAATTCTGTAAGTTGCAAGGTGGAGCTGCCGAGGATCAGATTAGTTTCACCTCCGTGCCACAGGTTTGTGGCTGGTCCCTGCTCGTGCCACGGCCAGTGGGTACTGTTTTTACAGGGAGAACCCCACAAGTTGGCCTTTTTGGAGGTGCTACAACCAAGTTATCCATCCGTAATGATTTTGATCTTGTCAAAGATGCTCAAGACTTCACTCTTCACAAAAATCTGATGAAGGAAAGACACGCACATCCCCGAGGCCCACTGGGTTGGGTGCTGGATCACAAAATGTCAAAAATGAGAAAAGAAAAGAAGAACGATCTGCACACCGAAACATCACGCCAATAAATTGTATAAGAGAGCCTGTTTTGGTGTGCGGATCGTTCTTCTTTTCTTTTCTCATTCAAGACTTCACGCTTACCAGTTTCTCCAGCATCTAACATCCTGACCCCACGAACTGACACTTATGCACAATATTACCCAGACCTTGACGTACATTGCTGTTAGGACAACAACATTGTTTGTTACGTCTGTGAATGGTCACAATGTTTTGACATGTGTGTGTATTATTTACCCCTCTTTGCAATTACTGACATTATGGGTCATATGAGTGTAGTTGCACGAATATGAATGTCATGTGTTTGTGTCAGCGCAAAGTTGAGCCACAATGTTCATGGCAGTCCAGTCTGGCCTGCACTTCACCCTGCTGAAAGATGCAGACTCACATTCAAACAGTCCCAAGTACCACAAAATCCATAAATACAACCTCAGTTTGCTCGGGGGGAGAAATTGAAACAGAAAGAGAATTTCCATGTTAATCCCTCGGATAGGGATTGCAAAATCACTCTTTGTCCTTCTGATGTCATTCTTGATGTTACTAGTCACATAATTCTTCAGAACAAATCCCCCCTCCTTGCTTTTCTCTCACTCTTTTATAAGCTCTCCTGTGCTTTTTCTTTTCCTGTATCCTCACTTGTCTTTTTCCCCCTTTCTGCAGGTCCAGGACCAGTCGACACCCCAGCTGTGTCAGGACTTCATTCTCGAAGTGTATCAGTTAACTGGGTTCCTCCCACACAACCAAATGGCATAATCACAAATTACACCCTCTATCTTCACTCCGGCTCTGTTACGCCTTTGGATCATAAACCCAGCTCAGTCTCCAGCACTAACTTGACCCTCAAACCCAGCTTAAGTCCTAACCCAAGCATGCTGCCAAGCACAGAGGGTGCATATCTCAACTCAGGTCATAACCTCAGGCCAACATCCAGTCTTACAACCCCTCAAGGCTCAAACCACATCTCCATGTCTTCTAACCGCACTGGCACCCATGTTGGCTCAAGCACAATTCAAGACACCGCACACAATTTGTTTCCTAACCATCCCTTCACCTTGAGGCCTGGTGTTGTAAAAGACAACCAGATTGAGTCCACTGGTGTGAGCAATGTAAGCCGAGGCCCCAGTTCAATCTTATTCCACCCCACTAAACCCAGTAGCACCAGTGGAAGCCCCAGCTTCTCACCGTCAAACCCAGACTATATCAGCTATAATACTGAATATTTTGCAAAACAAGACCCAATCAACAACCCTGCCTTCAGCTCTTATAGTGCAGCTTCAAGATCAACGCCTCTATCAGTCACTGTTCCAGGGAACACCACGAGCTACACTTTCCTCGACCTACTTCCCTACCAGACCTACAGCCTGCAGGTACTACATGTGGAAGACTATAGCTTCATGATGACATTATGGTAGAATACAGTGCTCTATCACACAGTCCAAAAGGATTTAACTTAGTGTTAAAGTGTTATGTGCTTAAATGACAAATAAATGACAAATATTAAAGCATTTTTTGTTGGCAATTGAATATCTATCTCTGGTTCCAGTTACAGATAAGACGTTCTTTTAAAATTAGTTATCGTAGCATGGCAACTGGTAGTGCCAGAATCATAGAATATTTAAATAGAACAGAAAAAATTGCAATTTACCTGTTCTTATCATAATTACCTGATTGTTTGCTGAGTGAAGAAAACTTCTGTTCTTAAAATGACACTACAAACACATATTAAACCATGATGGTACATAATTTCTCTCCACTCCAACATCTAGGTGGAAGCATGCACCAGTGTGGGTTGTTCAGCGTCTGGGAGGTCTCAGTATTTTCGTACCCTCCCAGCTCCACCTGAAGGGGTTCCTGCACCTCACCTTTACTCTGACACACCCACCTCTGTTCTCTTATCCTGGGGTGCACCGGAGTTGAGCAATGGACCTCTGGAACGGTCAGAGATAGCCACAAACACTTCAGTTCACCAGTGGCGTTACATTCTGTACGTAGATATCTGTGATCACATTGTATCCTGTACTGTCTGTAGGTGGCTGATTGAGCGTAGAGTTAATGGGACCAAACAAGTCTCCACAGTGGGCCAGCTCCTGCCGGATCCTCCCCCTCTTTCCTTCCTGGACTCTTCATCAGCTCTCAGTCCCTGGACGAGCTACCAGTATCGACTTGTGCTCCATAATCAGGCTGGCAACACTACGGGTAAGACTTAAAAACAAATTTAACTGAACTGAAATTTACTCTGGCTCAAGTGTGTCTAGTGCTAGCTTCAAAGCTGATCAAATAAAGATCTTTATTTGCATGTTGTTACATCATTGCAGGGCCCTGGGTCAGCATCACCACTAGACCTTCTAGACCAGCTGGTCTCAGTCCACCAAGGGTGAGGGTCTTGGGGCCGGAGTCACTTCAAGTAAGGGCATCCATTTTTTAATTACTCCTTCAGTAAAAATCTAGATTATTTATTTTATTTTATTTTTTTTTACCTCATTAACATATCTGTATTGTGTTTTTTTATCTTCCCAAACATAAGCAAACACCATTGGTTGAGCATTTCCATCTTGAAACTGTCAAGTTTGTACAGTTTTTTAGCAGTAACACATCTAAGAACCCAAGCATGTCAGTTTGCAGGGTGGGGCTTCCTCTATCATTAATTGTCTTCCAGTTTGAACGCGTAAGGCTGAATTATTACGATATTACAGCTTGAGGTGTAGAGTAGTTCTACAATGTTTGAGCAGAGTCATCGGTTAGCAGGTGTGTGAGTGGGAAAGGGTGATTTGTGAAAAAACATTCTTTAGCAGGAAACAGTTTAATATTCCATTTAAGCCACTTTACAATGGGAAGGGGTTATTTTGATGTTAAAAAAAGAAATCTGAATATGTAACTCTGATGCACTGAGAAGCGTTTTTAGGGGTTTAATCAATGAGCGGCAAAGAACTATAAATGACTTTTTGCGAGTTCACTGAAATCTGAATATGGCTGAACCACATAGTTGTTCTCCAAATCAGGCATGATGCTACTGATACAACATTTTGAACACATAACTCATGATGCATTCAAGTGATAGAAGGTGTCAGAATTGAAGATTAAGCTTTTTAGAGTTTATAAAGTTTCTTCAAAGAGAAATAAAAACAAAAAAAAACCCAACACAATTCAACTTCATTGAGAATCTCTTCAGTCACTCTGGGTTTGACAGAGTAGAAAAGACAAAGCAATGTCACACGGATTCTTCTGTCTTTCCCTTTTCGGATTTAATGAGAAAGAAAAACATTCAACTCAAGGTCCCCTTCAGAAATGGGAGGGGCTGTGACCCTGTCTGAGGCAGCTTCCTTCCTGTCGGCCATTTTGAAGGAGGGACCAGAGTTAAATTCCACCACTGGCTAATCTCACATCAAGGCCTATCAATGAAAGCCCCTGAAACAATATTGTATGCATGCACACACAGAGAGATGCACACACACTTGCACTCGCAGCCCTGCACTAATGCTAACTGCAGAAAAATGCTAATGCCTGTCATCATTTCAGAACCGCCCCTGTCATCTCTGCAGCAGCACAGCTTTAGGGGTCACAGGTCCAAGAAGGAAAACGTTCCTTCCTGGTTGTTGCTAATTGGACAGACAGGCAGGCTGCTTCCTGGTTACCAATTGACCTTGACAACACAGAGAAGGATTTTGAGTATCTCCCTTCATTCGCTAAATGGTTTATTCTTCTTCTCTCTCCTTCATTGTAAATCACTTGTACTTCATGGAGATCAACTGTTTCCTAACCATCACACATCACTTCTTAATCATGACCCCGGTTATGTTTTCTTTGCAATTTACTGGTTTTGCAGGTGTTGCTTTTAAGTAGTGATGCAGTGGTCAGAATATCAAGGCACAATCAAAGTCTTGCCAGTGTCTCCTGTTCTAATATCAAGGTCACATTTCTGTCATTCAGTGGCTCCAATAAATTTTCGATGAAATATCTGGTGCAATAGACAAATTGAGATCAGAAATGTAGCTACGAAAGTTTCCTGGTTTGCACATAGTTTTTTTTTGGTACATACTCTGCAAGTGGGAACGGCTGAGACTGGCAACCTCACCAGCTGTAAGTTGGACATCTGGCCAAATCCTGATCGCAAATCTCGACAGGCCATAATGTTTGTTTTTTCCCATTCTAATGTTTAATTGGACCATTAACTAAAGCTCCTGACCTGTAGCTGCGCTATATGCAGCACTGGTGGCACATGATTGGCTGAATCGATAATTGCATGACTATGCAGGTGTTCAGGTGCTACTCATAAAGTGCTCAGTGTGTCTGTATATCCGCCTCTTTGTTAGTGTCTGATTAATGGCTAGCAGTGCATAGTTTCCCATTCTTGCATCAATTATCTTTACTATGATAGTTTTCTGGTAGTTTATGGTGAAAGCTTATCATTAAACTTGAAT